GGAGCGGGGGATCCAGTGGCGGGTCTTCAGGAGGGAAGATCATCATTGGAGGTGGCGGTAGTGGAGGATCATCCGGATGCTGCGGTGGAGGATCCAGTGGTGGCAGTGGTAGTTCCTCGGGCCACGCAATCATCATCAACTCTGGAGGGGGCAGCGGAGGGTCCTGGCAGTCCACACAGCAGAAATGTCCCATTGTCATTCCCAACATCGAATCCCATCAGACCAAGCAGGGCTGCCACTGGCCCCCCAGCCAGCAGAAGTAACAGCCACAGATGGCCCTGGCACTCATCAAGAACAGTCCTGCCTCTGCTATGTCACCCTTCTCTGTCCAGACCTGGCTCTATTAACCTGTTTCTTCCCTGTGTCTTGTCTTTTCTTCTCTTCCCTTGATACTGCGTCCCTGTGCTGAGATCTCCAGGCTTATCAGCCTTGTGCCCTGCTGCTGGTGTTGTGATGCTCTTTTCCAAAGAGTACTTTTTACATCTAATAAATGTAATAGTTTCTCAAACTTGGTTTTTTTTTGAGTTTGTTTTTTCTTGTATTCTCAACCAGCATCTTATGTCTTGGAAGCTGGAAACCTGTCTGATGAGACATTTCATTCCTCCTCTCTGTGAAGATGGTGGGTTCAACAGTGTATTGCCATGAATGCAGCTCTGAAGTGATCCACTTCATAGCCCCAGAGAGTTTGCACCTTCCTTTTCCCCCTGGACTCCATCAAAAAGTAACAGCACTGCCCAAAACACAAAGCACCCCCAACACCCATTATCGCTTTTGCACCCATGCACAATGCAGCCATCCCAGTCATGGCTCTAAGCCCTCTGAGGTACCAGCACCCAATGGCCATGTCTGTGGAGCAGGGAAGTGCTGCTAGGAGACACAGCCAAGCCCATCAGGCTCAGTTCTGAAGATCAGGGATTGGAGCTGACCCTCAACAGCAGCTGTTGCTGCCCGAGGTGGCCAACACCATGCCAATGTCCACGTCGCTGCCAACATTCCCCTTCCATCCCAACTTCTCTACCCAGAGGGTGAGCCTCACACGCTGAGCCAGCCAAATCAGCCTTGGACAGGCAGAAGGAAATAGAACCAGCAGTAAGTCCCTCAGGCAGCTCAACACACTCCAAATCACGCCTCCGGGGCCTTAAAACACTCCTTGTTTGAGCTTTTGAAACCTACTTTGAAATGCCGAGGGCAGCACCACCCTCCCTGTGCACCGCCTTCTGCCCAGTAGGAGTGGCCTTTTGCCAAAGCTGGGACTCACTGTCCCCACGGCAAAATTGCTCGGAGCTGAACTGACCTAGTCCAGCCCGTAAGAGCCATGCCGCGGGGCCGAGCCGCAACACGACGGGCTGCAGCACAGGTGTCAGGCCGGGCAGCACTACCAGCATGGCCACTTATCCCTGTCCAGATCAGTTCCCCCGGAGTTCCTGGGGCTTTGTGCTCTTTCCAAGTCAGAGGAAGGACACAGTGTATGAAAATGCCAAAGGAAGGTGTTTGGAGGCATGATCCTTCCTTCGAGGAGTAATCCAGCCACAGCAGTTCAGCATTAGGACATTCACACCTCCCCAGGGCCCCTAAGCTTTCTCAGAGCGTCTCTAGCACCTGTGCAAAATATCCAAGCTGGACGATTCCCTTTTGACAACCTTCTGGTTTGAACGCAAATGTCTTTTTCAGAAAATCTCCCACTGGAGCCACCATCCCAGAGGGCTCAACGTGCTGTGTGGCAACCAGATGCTTTCTGAGCATTTGCCATCCCCTCCCCTGGGTACCCGCTGATCACACCGACCCTTACGGTGATGCCTCAAGCCACGAACACTGCCATAGCGCTGAACCACAGGCTCCCTGCCCCTTCCTTGAGAAGGACCTGATCACCACAACCACAACTCACTAATCCTCTTGCTCAGCACTTCCCTGCACCCACGCTCCCACCCACATCCCCCAGTCTCCCCCAGTGTCGCCACCTCATCGGGGACCGAAGAGGTCCTCTGTAGCTCAGGGCAGGATCACAGGAATAAGATCATTAAGCAGAAGTAGCAATTAGTGCCATATGCAATGCGATGAGCAGCATGAAGGAAAGATATGGATCAGATGTCATGAGTCAAAACAAACACTGAAATCAGAGTTTGACTGGTAAATAAATCCCTGACATTCCTTATGGTGTCTCATTTCCCATATATGCTAAACGCCATATAAATGTTTCTGTCTGTTGAAGCTCCTCATCCAGTCGACTTTTATCTTCTAAATGTGTTTCCAATGGCTGAGGAGGGTAAGTCTGCTCTTTTCTGAGACTTTATTATTTCATATCCCTGGGAGATGATAGCTTCATTTGAGATCTTGACACGTGCTTGCAGCTGTACCTACGCTGCCTGAGCATCCATAGCAAAGTTCTTGGGATCTATACGCTTTCTTGCTATGGTGAAGATCAGATCACTGGGAACCATGGCGAAGACAAGTCACCGGATTGGGAGCCATAGGGCTGAGCTGGTTAAAAACCCAGATGAGTCTGTAGTGGGACCAGCACATGGGACTGCATAGTCTTTGCAGCTTTGAACATGTTTGCAATGTGCAGGACACATTTTTTATGTTATTTAATAGCAAGCCTATGCTCTACTTCATCGTGGTTACACATCTCCATGCTGGTGCCAATTACCTTATGTAAAAGACCTTTTGGGGATGCTACGCAACGATGGCAATAATACAGCCAACATCATCTTGCATGGAAATTTTGATCCACTGCTCTTGCAACAGTCTAAAAGCAGAAGCAAGGATGATCCTTGCTATTTTTACATCTCTGCGGATGCGGTTTTGAAGATGAGTGGGGAAAACCATGCCAGTTATTAGATATTAAAAGAATACATTTCAGATATCGATTTTCTGGAAATACACCCCGGAGATAAGAAAAAGAAAAGCTATCCCAGTAAGAGTTAAAATACTCTTGCATTTGAAGAACATCTAGGCAGTACCTGCTTTCGAAGCCTGGCATTGCCCCAGGCCCTGGCAAAGCTTTTCTGACCACACCACCTGAAACCTTCCTACCTGCCATGGTGCAAAAATGAAGCAAAACGGTGCAGGTTTGTTTTTTTTTTCCCTCTTTCAGATCTATCACTGTCTCCGAGGGAGATGTGCCCGGCGGAGCAGGGGCTACAACGAGAACTCGCACCACGGAGGATGCTACAGCAGCAGCGAGGGCTTCTCAAGCCTCCAGGGACATGGCTCCTTCTTCTGTGGTAGGGAAGGCTCAGTCACCTGCAGCCGGGGAACATCATCCTGGCAGCCCATGCCAACATCATCCACCTGCAGCATTGCAGCAGGGTACAGCTGTGGTGGCGACGGATCCGTTGTCATAGCCAGTGATGACAGTGGGGGAACATCTGGCTGGGGCGTTGCAGAGGGGACAGTCCCAGTCTACAGCACGGGGCGGAGAATAGGGTACAGCCGTGAGGACTCAGGCCGGAACATCATTGGCAGCTCAGGAGGTGGTGGAGGATCCACTGGGAGATTGGGCATCACTGTGGGAGGAGGCTCTGGATATGGATACGATGCATCACCAAGAGAAAGGGCCTTAACAACAGGTGGGGATGGGGATGGATCAGGGTATTATAGTGGAGGATCAGGCTATGGCACTGGGGGATACTCAGGCCCAGAGCTCAGCTCTGGAGGTGGTGGGTCCTCCCAGGCCACACAACAGAAATGCCCCGTGGATGTTCCCAAAATCAAGACCCAGCAGAGCAAGCAGACCAGCCACTGGCCCCCCAGCCAGAAGAAATGACTGACCCAGCAGCTGCCCCTGCTCAAGCAAAAGTACCCTGGATGTGCCACAACATGGCTTTTCCCTGATCGCGTCGTTACGGTCAGGGAGCTTTGCATTACTTGCATTGGGCTGTACTAGCAGCATTGCTGCAAGCACTGCTGGGAAAAGTGATTTGTGCTTTGGTGACAGGAAAAGATTCTTCTTGCCATCTCCTTTTGCTCATGTGTTGGAAAATAAAACTTCATAGTCTGTGAGAAATTCCATTATCTGCATGTTTTCTTTAATTTCTGGCTCCTTCACTCAAAATACAGATAGATACTCAAGGGCTCTACGTCACAACACAAGATTAATCTTCCGGCTTTTTTGATATATATTTTGCAACCATACTCAGATGTAATATTTATTTTAAGAGAATTAAAATATATCCGTTTCAACAGCAAGAGAAGGTTCTTAATTTTGCTCTCCCTGAAGTCAGAGCTTCCCCTGCCATGACGTTCCCATCAAACGGAAACACCGCGCCCTGCCAAGACCCTCTGCACGGTTACGGGGGCCCGACTCTACGAGCTACGTTAAAGAGATACGCAAAACTCCCAGTCAACTTCCACCTGATCATTATTTACAGCCTGACCTTGGGAGTGCAAGGTTGTTTGCTCGGAGACAATTACACACCAGGCTCCTGCCCCAGAAAGATTGCAGGTGATGTTGTAAGCCGGAGCACGTAAGCTTTAGGCTTGCACCAGTGGCATGAGGCAACTTGAACAAGCTCGTTTGCTTTTTCGCAGTAACCTGCTTCATGGCATTTTTTGATAGGATCAGGCCCTGAATTAGGCACCAGGAGAAGATGGTTCCTCTGTGCTGTGCTGATGGGACAGCGCGGGGGAGGTTTGAACATCCAGTGCTGGTTGTTACGTGGTATTTGCCAAACATTTAGTGTTTCAGGAGTGTTCTCTGGGGTTTTTTGATTCCTCCAAATATTAGTAATGGAGAAAAAAACACCTATAGATCTGTGCTCATTTAAAAGGGGAAAAAAAGAACATAAAATTACATTGTAAAATAATTTTTACCTTTGCTGCTTTCACCAACCTGTGGAGATTTGGACCCTTCTAGCTCAATAAAAACCCAGAAAATTTTGCCCTGATATTCATAAAACACCACAGCTTATGAAAAACCAAAATCCTCTGAGCTCTAGCTGTGTTTGGTGTCACAACGGATATCCTTCATGCTGTAAAATGTTGTAAGACAGTAAGACAGGGAACATTATGCAAGGTTTTGTCACCAGCCATATTAAATTCCATTCTAAAATTAGACATCATTATCATTTATTTGCATCTACTTATATTTCTAAAATCTACCACTTTGTTATTGCCCAGAGAAGCTGTGGCTGCCCCATCCCTGGAAGTGTTCAAGGCCAACTTGGATGAGGCTTTGAGCAACCTGATCTAGGGGAAAGTGTCCCTGCTCATGACGGGGGGGTTGGAACTAGATGGTCTTGAAGGTCCCTTCCAATCCAAACCATTCTAGGACTCTATGATTATTGATTGCTGTTATTTTCCTTACTTCATCTGATAGTAGCAAAGATAGCAAAAGAACTCAGAGTTCCAAGAGACTTCCAGAAAACCAATTAGAGTCTGGAGTATTCAAAAACTTCTTGTATATTCAATTAACTTGACCAAAAGAATCCAAAAATTTCAGTCACTCCCCCACCCCCCTCCCCCTCCAAAAAAAAAAAAAAAAGAAAATAGAAAACACTTTCAAAGTACATTTTTTATTCACTGTCCCACCTGGCTGGTTCTTTGAGGCTTGTATGAAAAAACACTCCACAAGCTTAGAGATTATATAACAGTATAACAGACTGAGGGGAGAAGAAGGATGCTCTTGCATCCAGAGCCTGAACACCAGGAGCTGGGGCGGCATCCCACTGCCCTTCCCTGCACGCTGGAGCGGCTGCAGCTTACCTCAAGCATGAAGCTGGGAGCAGGCAGAGGCTGGATTTTACACTCGGGCATACACATGCGCACTTGCACACGTAGGTTTCGTCCCCACTCGTTGTGCAACAGAGGAAGAACGACTCATCCTTCACGGCTGACGAACCAAACCGTGATAATGCAGGACTCTCGTCCACGAGCGTGCTGGGGCTTGCAAAAGCCATGGCCTGCAAAAGCTGCGGCCCCTCTGCTTGGGCTGTTTGTAAACAGGGAGGCTGAACGGTAAACATGAGTCTGGCTTCTTGATGAAAGTCACTAACTGGTGCCTCCGGATAGAAACTAAAGGAATTGTTTTAGAGATATCAAGTGGGAGCCACCCCTCTGCTTCAGATGTTCAGTCGATCTCTGCCCAGCAAAACCTTGCCATTCCCACGTTTGCAGAGGGAGTTAAGGTACAAAACAAGTCAAAACACAGAGTGAGCCCTGCTGAAATTGCACGGTCAAGCTGCTAATGGGAGGAAAGAGGAGAAACTGGGGCTGTTGCAAAGCCATGGTTGCACGGCTGATTGCACCAGGGCCAGGCAAGTGCCCCAGGCTTGCAGCAGCCCGCCGCGTTGCACCCAGGATGCACCCATCCCGCCCCAGGGAAGAGCTCGAGATGCGTGGTGAGCTCAGATACGTGGTCTCTGAGCTAGTGCTTTGCTCACAGCTTACTCATGAACGCGAGGTTTGCCCAAGCAGCTGCATTTCCCATCACCGACAACGGCTGATTCAGAGGCAGGCAAATAAATAGAAGTTAAAATATTACAAAAATAGACATTTTGAAAGAACAATCCAGTTTGGGGCTTTTTGGTATTGACTAGGAAAAGTGTCAGCAACAAAAATTATCTGTAACTATGTCAATAGCGGTGAAAAGGCTATAAAATCAGACATGAAGTAGATGGACACAGGTAGAGAAACCACACTACATTTTTGGGGTATTCACAGGTATAAGCCAAGACTTCCAAAAGTGGCCTGTACCGCTACCTGGCTTTGACAGGTCACGTTCCAGTCATAGCTCTTGGAGCCTGCCACCATAGCCACAGGCTTCATTATCCTGGTTTTATTGCTCTGGGAAATGACACGGTCGGAGAGAAGAGATCCAGAGGGGACCCTTGGCTGTTAAGCTTCTGGCACCTGCAGATGTCCTACAGGGTGAAGACAACTTCAAAGATGTTTTCAGAGGACATGCAATGAGGACATTCTGAAAAACTGTCATTTTTTATGGCGAGGACCTGAAAGCGGTGGCTCTTTGTCCACTGCGCAAGACCTTGGTCCAGCCAAGAGCAGTTAGAGGTGACCGGGCATCGTGACCTCTCCTCCCTGCCAGACTTTGGGCAAGAGGTTTCGGGAGAATAGAAACCCAAAAAAGCGCCACCTTTGCCATCTATTTTGCAATATAAAACTCATCCTGGCATGATGGTGAGACAGTCAAGCCACCCACACGGTTTTCACTCTTCGTGCATTACAACCTGCGTGGGGCAGGGTGGCAATTAAAGCTGTGTAACACAAGGAAGACAATCTCCTGCATGACAAGTCAATCAAAGAAACCGGGTTGAATAAGCTTTTGAAGGTGGTGGATAATTAGAGGTGTGGCTGTTTTGTAAATACGTTGGTCATTTTTCCCCAGGGGTTTATTGCATTTTCAGGAAGAGAGTTAGGAACCGTATAAAAGTTCTCAGATGGGACAGTAGCTCATTCACTCAGCTCCACTCCTTCTCCAGAGCCTTCACAGCCAAGGTAAGTTGCTACTACATCACTAACATTTCATTCCTATGAAAATTTGCTGAATCGAGCTGAGCTATGCTCTTAGAAAGACGGATCTGTCTGCAGGTGCTGGGATTATCGAGAGCCAAGTTCTTGCCTCAGTGGTTCAGGCAGTTTTATGCTACCAAAATTGGTCTCAAGACTAAGAAGCAAAATTTATTGTTCCTATCACATGTAGATGTATTTGGAATACTTTGGTGCTCAGGATTCCTTGTTTCCAAAGGAAGAACTGGAAATAAAATAGTGAATAATGGGATTTGGGAATGAGTGGGAGACAGGCTGGTCTTTCATAAGAAACCTTGGGTTTAAGCTGGGAATTTTCATTGCACTTATGAGCCTGACTCCTCTACTAAGCTTTTTTTGAAAACTTAAATCTTTAAGAGCTGAAAGTATTAAGCTGTCCTTGAGGAAATTTAGGAAAGAACAGAGAAGGCAGATTTAAACTATGAGAGGAAGGAGTAGCGTGAACAGCCTTCAGCTCAGCTGGCCGCATCCTGGGATGCCTTCTGCCTCCTTGATACCACAGCTCTCCTTGGAAGGGGGTTTAGATGTCCACATACGATTTTCCTCATGCCTTGGAAAATTGGGCACTGGGCAGCCCAGGGTCCACAGGACACAGAGGGAGCAGAGGACACAAGGAAGGAGGAAGGCACAGGATTCTCTTCATTTTGAGCGCCTAGCTTTGAAAGTGTGTTTTGCCAAGGCTCTAAAATTCACCGGCTGTGCCAGGGCCCCTCTAGGCTGTGAGGTTTTCAGACCCTTGCCAAGATGCCTCTTGCTGGTGCAGCACAAACTGGCAGCCCACAACGCATCTGCTCCTCCGTTACGCAGCCCTGAGATGATCCTAGGGTGTATTGCACGAGTGCTCAAGGGATGCAGCAAGAAGGAGTGAGAAAACAGCTCATAGAACCCAGCAGAAGTGGACATCAAGGTTGCTGGGGGGCTTATGGGAGAGCTCAGATGGTGGGGGCTGATCCAACACTGCGGGAACGGGGCCCTAAGCCAAGGAAATGGGACAGGCAGACAAGCAAATCCTGCCAAGCCCCATCAGGCTTATAAAAACATGAAGGAGATCTGAACCCAGAGCAAAGTGGGGGAAGCACGCTGCCCTTCATGCATCTAATGACAAGGGTCTCTCCTTCCCAGGGTTCGTCACACCGACTGAAAAAATGTGCTCCCGCGGAGACAGAGTTGCCACAGCACTGAGGGCTCCTCTTGCCACAGCGGAGGCTCCTCCTGCCATGGCTCCGAGGAGGTCGTCTGCCACGAAGTGAGCGCCGTGCAGGA